CCAAGGTGGTGTCGCCGCGCCGGAGCGAGAAGCCCGGCAGTGCGCTGGCGGCGGTGGAGGGGGCCGCGGCCGAGCGGGAGGCTGGGGGTGGCCTGGAGGTGAGACCCCGCTGCGTTCGCAGAGCTGGGGGCCCGAGGGGCCCCCGGGAAGCGGGGTGGAGAGCAGATGTTGGAAGGTGGGCGCCAGACCCCTCATTTCTCCCAGTGGGGAGAAGCACGGGCTTCGGGGACGTAGGGGCGTGGTGCGCGCGGCCCGGCCTTCTATGCCCTTGGCCCTCTTCTGGGTCTCGGCGTGCCCTGCTCCTGCCGCGCCCCACTTCTCCAGTCTCTTCCAGCTCCCTCCTGTGGCTGTCGCAAACTGCATCTCCCCCAGGCCCAGAATCAATCCTCAGGCTTGAAGTGACCCATTTTCTTGCCCAACGCTGCGCGTTTGTAGCTGTAACTTAAAGTACAAGATCTGGTTTCTACGCTCCAGGAGTAACTGAGAGCCCAATTTAAGAGACTATCTGAACCACCGGAATGAACTGTGTGGTTTAGACAAGTTCTAATACCTGACCTAAAATATTCGTACTGTTGGAGTTCAGAGGAGGGAGCGATTTAGGTTGGTCTCTTCTTTGTAAAAGGTCTACAAATTCTTTTAAGTGTAGCTTCAAAAGTCATTTTCTTTGGGAAGCCTTCCAAGATTGCCACCTCTCTACCTCTCTCTTTAAACTTTTCATCTTTTTATCTTATTTAGCGTCTCATTCAAGCACTTATAACCTTGTTTCGTGTGTGTGTGTGTGTGTGTGTCTTCGTCTTCCAGGCCCCTAGGCAAGGACTCCATCTCTGTAGCATCACCTAATGCATGAACATGAATATGAATTAAAAGGATTGAAATGGGGATGGGGGAAATAGCTCATTGATAGAGCGCATGCTTAGCATGCATGAGGTCCTGGGTTCAATCCCCAGTACCTCCATTAGATAGATTTATCTATCTTTATCTATCATTCTATCTGTCTATCTAACTCCCACCCCTCGAGAAAAAAAATAAATAAAAATGAAAGGATTGAAATGGTTAGAAGGTACTAAAGTGAGCCGGCAACAGTGGGAAGTATTTGTGTAGATCAGAGTTTGAAAAAATACAACTCCTGGGCCAGATTAGACTGTAGACACATCTCCTTGACTTGTGCTATTTGTTTTTACTTGAATTACTGGTCAGCATTTTAAAATCAGGAAATTTATTTCACATCCACTCACTCAAAAATCAGGATTTTCAGCATCTCTTGGAAAATCAGAAGATGTGGCCAGACAGGGCCCGCGTGCCTGCGTGGTGCAATTAGCAGGAACTGAGCAGCTGCTCCCTTTAGACTCAGTATAAAATGTTCAGATCCCCAGTGCCTACTAATTGTCTTCCTGACACCAAAGCCAAGTGTCCGTTGTCCTTTGTCACGTAGTTGCTTCACTCATCCTGATTAACTACCTGGCCTCTTGCTGCAGGTGACCTTGATGCAGATGAAGGACAGTAGGAAGGACATCACAAGTACAGGAGTCATGGGCAAAGGGGCGAAATGGAAGAAGCCTGGTACACGGGAACGTTAGGGGGGATATGAGAGCACAGGTTTGCTCTTAGGTGAATCACAGAGTAGGGCAGTTATGCGTTGATCTGTGTCCCCCAGAAAAGGAGATGTGGAGGTCTTAGTCCCCAGTACTTCAGAATGTGAACTTATTTGGGAATAGGGTCATCGGAGGTGCAACTCGGTGGGATGGGGTCATACTGGAGTAGAATGGGCCCCTAATTCAGTGTGACTGGTGTCCTAAGAAGATGGCCCAGTGAAGAGACAGAGACAGGGAGAATGCCATGTGAAGATGGAGGCAGAGACTACAGTAAGGCATCTACCAGGCAAGGAACACGAGGATTGCCAGCTGTCACCAGAAGCTAGGAGCGAGGCTTGAACAGGTGTCCCCAGGAGCCTGCAGAAGGAAGCCACCCAGCCAGCACCTTCATTGCAGACGTCTAACCTCCAGAACTGTGAGAGAATAAACTTCTGTTGTTTTAAGTCACCCAGCTTGTGGTTCTTTGTCATGGCAGCCCTGGGTATAGTACAGCTCTGTACGTCATAAAGAAGCTATTTCCTTTAAAAGGTGATGGAAAGGTAATGGTAGATTTTTTTATCATTGGTGTCAGTGAAGGCAGCACGTTAGAAAACTATTTCATTTGACAGTGTTAGCAGGGTTGACTGGAGCCGGAAAACATGTTTAGAGGTTTTACGAGAATCCAAGCATGGGGTGAGAAGGTTCAGGGTGAAAGTGGAGTTGGAAGTTTTCAGGGCTAGGTGGTAGGTATGGATACAGGGGATAGAGAGGGAGGAGTCCAAGATGACTAGAGCAGCGCTTCTCAAACTGGAGCAAAGCTGAGACTCACCTGGAGAGCCGGGGAAGCCGACTGCAGGCCACCCTCCCCCCCAACTCTGTCTCACTAAGGCTGGGTGGTGCTTGAGAATTTGCATTTTACCAAACTCCTGAGTAAGGCTAATGTTACTGGTGTGTGATCGCATGTTAGTAAACTGCTGCTTTTCTGGCTTAGAAACCCCTAGAATACAAGCCCCATGAAGGCAAGGACTATGTCTTCTTCACCAGAGTATCCCAGGGCCTAGAACAGTGCCTGGACACTGCAGGCTTACGTTAAAAATTTGTTCAATGAAGTTGGTCATTTGGGCAGAAATAGATAGTAAGAAGGGGAAATACGTTTAGAAGCAAAATGATGAGTTCATTTTTATGCATTTGATTCATCTTAACTGTCAGGAGGACATTGGGCTGGAGACGCATTGTGAATGTAGACTACACTGTAGGTGAGGAATAGGAGTCCTGGGTTTATGATTCATTCTGGACCAAGGTGATCACTGAAGCAGCGGCGATATGGTCATTGAGCTACTGAGTGTAAAGGGAGAGGACTAGGGGCTGAGCCGTAGTAACACCAACGTTTAGTGGAAGGAAAAGCTGAAAAGGTAAAGACAGTAGAAAAGTAGAGTGGGTGTGGAATATCATGCATTAATGGAAGCCAAGGGAGAAAAGAATTTCAGAGATTATTCAGTCAAGGGAAAGAGGCAAGAAAGTTGGCCTATTATTCATTCGTTCAGCAGTTTTCAGTTGAGCACGCACTGTGGTCCAGTGCTGTTCCAACTGTTCCAACCCTGCACAGCACAAAAACCCCCCAGCCCCACGGAGCTTACACTCTCGAGAGGCTTACACTGGACTTTCTATACATGGGGATGGGGGGAGGTTGATGTGTACAATAACACTGGAATAAGTGGTATTATCTCTATTTTACATGTGGGGAAATGATGGTTGAGGGAGATTATGAAGCTAAGATTCTAACTTGGTCCCACTTGCTTCCAAAGTTGTGTTGTGTTCAGGACTCTAAGCTGCCTCCAAGCTGTAATAACCAGTGTCACGTTTCTGCTTTAGATACTGCTGATGTACTGATTATTCCAAAATCTGGGTGTCCATTCTGGATTTTCCTCCTGGGTTCCTGACCCGTTGACCCATCAGCTTCCCGGACAGTCCCTCCTGGATGCCCCACAGGTATGTCAGTTACAGCATGTCTGAGGTGGATTCACCTCCTCCCCTCACCTCCACACTTTCACTCTGGCTGCCCAAGTCAGGCAGCTGTCCGAGGTAGGAACTTGAGTGCCATCCTCCATGCCTGCCCTTTTCCCTCACCCCTTCCAGTTAGGACAGCACGGATCCCCTGACTCAGTCCACTCCTCTCTGTCCCCAGTGCCACGAGCTCATGTCGGCCCTCACGGTCTCCATACTGCTGTAGTCTCCTAAGCGATATCCCAGCTTTCAGTCTGGCACCCTCCAGTCTGCTCTCCATACAGCTATCAGAGTGGTCTTTCAAAAAGGTAAATCTAATTATGACATTTAACCCCTTCAGGGGTTCCCCACTGCCTTCAGGAGAAAGTCCAAGCTTCCTAGCCTGGTGTACAAGGCCCTCCGTGACTTGACTGCTGCGTCCCCGGCTTCATCGTTTACTGGCTGGTACCCTGGACTTCAGTCATGTGGTGCATCCCTGAGCACATCATAGCATCTCTCATCTCCTGACCTTTGTACATGCCACACACTGTCTTTTCAGTGACTCTTCCTCTCTACTTTATTGCTTTCCTTCCATTCTCTAGTATTTATTTTCTCCTTAACTGAGCGCCTATGATGGGCCAGGCACCGCGCTAGGTGGTCTGAATACAGTAAAGAGGACAGGGTAGCGTGAGGTGATTTTTACCACATGGTCTCACACATTTTTAAAGTGAGAGGCCAGATTACCCACTGAGACCAAGGGTAATGCAGGAAGTAATAGAGATTTAAAAAGAAAAGAGAAGGGGGAGAGTGCGGAGAGGGGTAAATTAGGAACTAGGGATTAACAAATACACATTACTATATATAAAATAGATACCAAGGCCCTACTGTTTAGCACAGGCAACTATATTCAATATCTTGGAATAACCTGTAATGAAAAAGAATCTGAAAAAGCATGTGTGTGTGTGTATTATAACTGAACCATTTTGCTGTATACCAGAAACTGACACAACACTGTAAATCAACTGTACTTCAATTAAAAAGAGAGAGAGAAGGTACAGCGTATCTGCTACCAGGTCTCTGTTTGGTAGCTATAGAGCAGGAACTTCTGTTTCAGGAATTCAAGATGCTGCAGGATGTGGCTGTGAATGAACCACAAGAGGATGCTAAGCACCAGGTCTATACTCAGTGGAATTTCTGCAAGGAAGAGATGTTGGAGGAGACAGAGCTGGTCTCACCAGGTAAGGACTCTGCCCTCTAACTTAGACTCCATACACCCCGAGTTCTCTGAGTTTTGGTTGAAAAACAAAAAGCAAGAAAAGGTTTTAAAGAGCTCAGTGGAATTAGAGGATTAAGGATTCCCAGTGGCTCTGACTCTTGGAGGTAAGACGCTTCTGCTCTTTGTTGAAGGACATCTAGGCTAACCTCTGGAGTTGGAAGCGGACACCTCCTTGACTTTCCCTGAGCTTGTTCTCTGTCTTTCAGGCCTGTTAGAAACCAATAGATGACCAAAACTCAACTCGTCTTCAGATCTTTAAACCTACTTTTCCCACCTTTGAAACCTACTCTTCCTTCTCTGCCTCCCCCCTCAAACAGCATCGTATCCCACCCATGGCCTAAGTCAGAAAACTGAAAGTCATTTCTGACTCCTTTCTTTCCCCACATGCAGTTTCCCTGTTCCGTTGATTCTGAAATGCTCTCTTGCATGTTACTTGCTCCTCTGCCCCATTTGCTCATTTATTCCTGAAATTTAGTTACTTCACCAGGATACGTCTTGGTGTGGACTGTTCTCTATCAACTTTCTGTGAACTACACTGTATCCTTGCGAAAGACTCAAGTCTGTGTTTCAGCCAGATTTCCTTCTGTTATGTTTGAATGGTTTTTCCCTTCTGTTTGTTCTTTTCTCTTCTTTAGGAACACTGTTTATATATTCTCTCTTGATCTCCATGCTGTGTTGCCTCTTATTCTTTGCACAGAGATTACTGACTAGAGTTTAGATCCCCAGGGCCAAGGTGAAATGGCTCTCAGGGAGCTCAGAAATGTGTTCTTATAACTGGGCAAGGTCAGGGATTTGACGATGTGGGCACTCAAAGCAGTAAGCTCATCTGTCTTCCAGTCGTGGGAGGAAATAAAATTGCCACACAGAAGAGGCAGTTTTGCCAGAATTTCCTCTCTCCACCAGAGAGGAAAATGCCAGGTCTGAGAGGGAGAACTGACTTCTATTAAAATGGCAGCCAGACATTTTTATTCTGAGGCATAGTTTCAGATATGTTTAACTGTCATAGTATATCGGGAGGAATGGCTGGTGGGCCAGTTATTAACTTATTACATCTCAACTCCAGATCTACCCTTCTTTGCTTTGCTTATGTTACTGGATCTGGACCACTTCTCCTTTGCTAGCTGGTACAGGCTTAGATTTCGTCAGTGGAGGATGCTGGAGGGCAGTGCAAGGCCACAGGAAAAGGAAGGAACCTCTCCTTCTGGTGCTGGTGTGCTGTTTTATTATTTTATTCTATTTATTGGTGTGGATGCCAGCAGATCTACTTGTGGGAGGCCTGGTGGCACATACCCCAGTGGGCTGCTTCCTGTGAATCCATTCTGGCTGGCCACAGGACCCAGCAAGGTCCCACCCCATCAAACAGGCCACTTCCTGTGGACTAGCTCTAGACTGCCCGCCTCCTCCAGTGAATTTTCCACCACCCTGCAGGCCATTCCCACACAACAGTTTCATCCTGCACTCTGGCAAGTTTCCTCCCCACCAAGAGGGTGTGTGTTCCTGTGGCCGCAGTCTCTCTGAAAAAGTCTGAATCTCAGCCCAGGTGGAAAGAGTCCTCTTCTAAGTTCTTTGTTCCTCCCTCTTGGGCTTCCCAGTGTAGGGAAGAGGTGAGATTTGTATTTTAGGAATTATACAGTGGTCTGCTTATCATTTCAGATTCTGAGACCAAGAATAATATGAAAGATTGGAAGTCAAAGATGGAAATTTCTGAAGAAAAAGATTCAGCAGGGGCTGTATCAGAAAGACTCCAAAGACAGCTCTCCCAGGAATGTGGGTTAGTCAAAACCGGTAATCCTGAGGACAGAGTAGTGAGGTGTTGGGTAAGTCCCTTAGAGGATGCAGTGGGACATCTCCCTTCTGAAGGGAGAGGTTTCAGGGAAGTGAATCTGATCCCCAAGAAAGCCATGGCAGGAGAGAGAGGCCATGGATGTAAGGAAAGAGAAAAAATACTTTCTGCAGGAGAAAGATCCCACAGATATGAAGTCTGTGGCCAGAGCTTCAAACAGAAGTCAGAAGTAACTGAACATCAGAAAATAGACAATATGAAGAAAGCCTATGAATGTAAGGAATGTGGAAAAACTTTCAGTCGGAGCTCAAACCTGATTATACATCAGAGAATTCATACAGGAAAGAAACCATATGTATGCAGTGAATGTGGAAAAGACTTTAATCAAAGTTCAAATCTTATTATACACCAGAGAATTCACACAGGAAAGAAACCTTATATATGTCATGAATGTGGAAAAGACTTCAACCAGAGCTCTAACCTGGTTCGACATAAGAGAATTCATAACGGCGAGAATCCCTATGAATGTAAAGAATGTGGGAAGGCCTTCAAGGGAAGCTCAAACCTTGTCCTGCACCAGCGAATTCATAGCGGGGGGAAGCCATATGTATGTAATGAATGTGGGAAGACCTTCAATCAAAGCTCAGATCTTATTATCCATCACAGAATTCACACTGGAGAGAAACCCTATGAGTGTTATGAATGTGGACAGACCTTCAGTCAAAGTTCACACCTTGTCACACACCAGAGAATTCATACTGGAGAGAAACCCTTCAAGTGTAGTGACTGTGAGAAGGCCTTCAGGCAGCGTTCACACCTCACTGAGCACCAGAGACTCCACAGCGGGGAGAAACCCTATGCGTGTCGCGAATGTGGGAAATCCTTCAGAGGGCACACGGCCCTTCTTAAACATCAGAGACTACATACTGGAAAGGAACTTGAATGTGAAAGAGCCTGCACATCTGACACGGACCTTATCCAACAACAGAGAATTCATAGGGAAGAAAAACCTTATGAATGTACTGAGTGTGGGAAAACTTTCCGGGGAAGTTCTGATCTAATTCGGCATTGGGTAACTCACACTGGGGAGAAACCCTACGAATGCAGTGAATGTGGGAAAGCTTTTAGCCAGAGGTCGCACCTTGTCACCCACCAGAAAATTCACACTGGAGAGAAACCCTATCAGTGCGATGAATGTAGGAAAGCCTTCTGGCAGCGTGCGCTCCTTATCCGGCATCACAGAACTCACAGTGGTGAGAAGCCCTACGCGTGTAGGGAATATGGAAAATCCTTCATCTGGCACACGGCTTTTCTCAAACATCAGAGACTTCATGCTGGAGAGAAACTTGAGGAATGTGAGAAAACATTCAGCAAGAATGAGTTGCTTAGAGAAGAGCAGAGAATTCGGCAAGAAGAGAAAGCTTATCAGCGCAGCCAGTGTGGTAGAACTTTTCAAGGCAGCTCAGACCTCACCCGACATCAGGTAACCCATACAGAAGAGAAACCCTACGGATGTAAAGAATGTGGGAAAACTTTCAGTCAGAGCTCAGACCTTATGAGACATCACAGAATTCATAGTGGAGAAAAGCCTTATGTATGCAGTAAATGTGGGAAATCTTTCAGGGACAGCTCAGATCTTATTAAGCACCACTGTGTTCACACTGGAGAGAAGCCCTACAAATGTCCTGAATGTGGGAAGGCCTTCAGTCAGAACTCACACCTTGTTAGTCACCAGAGAATTCACACTGGAGAGAAACCCTTTGAACGTAGCAACTGTGGGAAAGCCTTCAGTGGATGCACAGCTTTTCTTAAACATCAGAAACTTCATACTGAAAAAGAGCCCGGGGAACATCAGACAGTCTTCAAACAGGACTTACTCTAAGAGGCAACAGAAACCTAATAAATGTAGGAAAGCCTGATGGAGACCACATCTTATTGCACTATGAAGGGTTTTTATTGCTGAAAACCATTTGAAGGTCGAAGACATTAGAAGAGCCTACTGGATGGAAAACACGTAAGTGTCATCAGGTGGAAAAGCTCTTGGACATAGTAGCCTTTTTTCTGCCTCATGGTGTATGGTCCCCAAGATAGAGTTACTTGGGAATGCTTTAGGGGCTGTCCATCACTGTTAAAATCATTAGACATCACTTTGCCAACAACCCCCAAACCAAATTCTTCATGGAAGGAGCCATTTCAGTCTTGACTAGGTACCTAGTCCAGTGACAAGTATAAATCTGCTTTAAGTACTTTAGGGTGATTAAATCTTTCTCTGGGATGAATTCTTCCCCTTAAATATGTATTTTATATATATATATATATAATATATATATTCCCCTTTTATCTTCCTTATAAAAATATGCTTATGCATATGTGATAATACTAATTAGAGTGACCCACTAATGGAGAAGAAACCAAAAATAACAGAAATAACAAGAGGAGAGCTGAAGGCCAGGACACAAGAGCCAAGTGAGGTGTTCCCCAGAGAAAGAGTGGTGACCATTAGCAGTATCAGGAAATGAGAGAGCAAGGGATAGCATGGTGGGTGTGAGGAACAGGACTAGACTGAGTGCCAGGCAGAGCATTTAGGAGACGTGAGTTGGTAGGTATTAGAACAAAGTAGTGACTATGAAGGGTCAGGTGACTAGAGTGGTTTTATCTTGAACCAGGGCTTTGTAATTATTTGAGAATTGGAGAGTCTAAGTGGAACTCTGAAAGAGAGCAGTCATCATTTACTCTGATAACTGACACTGGTCATTCGGCCCTGCCTATCTGTACAATCAAACTCAATTGTCCAATATTTCTCATACCCTGAACAGACTGTATACGAATTTACAGGCATCATCAGATGAGAAAGTTACTGAATGGGACAATGTTCAGGCAAGGAGAATTTCAACCTGGTATCTTTCCTTGGTGGGAGTAGCTTTTGAGATGCACAGAGGGGATCAGTGGTTCTCAAGTGGGGTGATTTTGCTCCCCAGAGGACGTTTGGCAATGTCCGGAGACATTTTGGTTGTCCCAACTGGGAGGAAAATACTGGCATCTGTAGGACTAGGGATGTGGCTAAATATCTGACAAGACACAGCTCCCTCACGACAAAGAATTTTCTGGCCCCCAGTATCAGTAGTGCCATGGTTGAGAAACCCTGCCCATGGATATTCAGAACACCAGTCACCTGGGGCCATTTAAAGCAGGCATTTCAGTGTGGTGTGGGCAGTGGCAGTGCATCCCCAGGGGAACCAGACGCTGCTAGAAACCTTTAGTTTGATGAGCTGTTTCAGAAGAGGCAGTGTGGTCTAGTGGAGGGAGCACAGACATGGGTTTGAATCCCAGTATGACGTACTGACTTTGGAACCTGGAACAAATTGTATCTCCTCTGATCCTTAATTTACAACTTATTTTCCTCATTAATAAAAGTTTGAACAGCACTGGAGGCTATGACTTCCCCAGAGGGGCATCCTGAACAGTAGTGGGATGCCTTGAAGTGGGAAGCCCACCCACCGCATCCCTGAAAAGACTTCAATCAGAGCTCTAACCTGGTTTGACACTTCACACTCCCAGCTACCTACACATTTAACTTTTTGAAAGCAGGGAACTATGTTTTTGTATCCTCTCACCTCCAATCCAGACAGACCCAGATTTACATATATATTTTTGTTCAATCAATGCTTGAATTAGTCCAAGTTCATGATTTTCTAGTTTTGTTGTTGAAACCTATAATCATCACAGGAGCAGAGTATATGTAACTTTCTTTCCCGCTTTTCTTTCTGTTCTAGATAAACCCATAAACTAGACACTGCAGAAAAAACTCAGGTTAAACTATATTTTGCTTGGGCACAGTATCCATTTATTTCAAATTAAACTTGGTGGCTGGTTTCTATTTAAATATTTTAACGATTCCCATTTGAAATGCTGTTTGCCAGAAGGTGGTGCTTCATGTTACATCTAAATGTAGTTCCTCTGTAGCACTTTCTTGGGATTTTCCACCCCAGTCAGGGTTGTTTCATACACATTTAGCTGATGTACACAATTTTGGTAATTCACATTTTACCAGAAAATCCTTCATTTCATCAAGGTTTTCCAATATACTACCCTAAAGCTGGATGTAACGGTCTCTTAATTCTTTTCATCTCTTTGATTCTGTGGTTGTTTTCTTTCTCTCCTCTTCTCTCCTCTCCTCTCCCCTCCTCTCCTTTCCTTCCTTCTTTCTTCCTTTCTTCTTTTCTTTCCTTTCTTTCTTGTTATGTTTTATTTCTCATTCCCATTGTTAATTTTTCTTTTTCTCAACCAGGCTCTAAACAAGTTTCTCTAGTGTATTGATCTCTCAAAGGAATCAGCATTTGAATTTATCCCTTCCACTATTTTTAATTTTTCCATGTCATTAATTACAGTTTTTATTTTATCTTATCAGATTCATTCTTCCTTGCTTCGCTGGGTTATTTTTACTATGCTTTTAAAGTTCCTTAAGGTGAATTTTTAATTCTTTTCTGTTTTCATTAACAAGGAAGGTGACTAAAGCTCTACATGTTCAAGTATGGCTGTTGCTATGTTCTATAGATTTTACCATGAAGGGTTCTTTTTATTGCCTTCTGGACAGTTTGTAATTTGCCTTTTGATTTCCTTTTTTGATCCAATCCGGTTCTTTTGTTTCTTATTTTTCCTGGTTTGCTCAAGTTCTAGTGCGTTCTATTTTTTCCCTTGTTAATATGGACGCTCTACTGTACTTTTCCATTCTTATAATGGTTACCTTTCCTTCCCTAGAACTCATAATCAGCTGTATGTTCCTCTATTATTTTTGGAAAACAGCAGTAATTTCAAGGACATCAACAAGCCCTATTTCCCCTACCCTACAAACTGAAGCCTTAGATTTTTTTTCCCTCCTCCCTAGGAATTTTTTATTTACTGATGGCCATGGGCAGGTCAGCGGTTGAGAATATTTTCTCTTGGAGGGTAACTTCTTCCTCGGCTGTGACCCCTCCAATCAGGTCTGGGAATACATAACTGGGGAAGAGAACGTAGAATAGAAAATGCTGTGAAGAGGCCACGCCCAGGCTAGAATTTCCCTCCAGTTCCAGTCCACGTGGACTGTCCCGAACGTACAAGGGAACCGAGAAACGAGGCCCGCCAACCGTGCGGTCAAATAATCGGCTCACGCCGGCTCCACCTGTTCGAGGGCCGCCATTCCCAGAGGCCTCGGGGCGCGGCGGGCCCGCGGAGTCGCCGTGCACCGCGGCGCGCTTCTCG